AAGAATTTCAAAGTGGGAAAAATTCGAGAGGAGGAACAGAAGAGTGATTTAAAGATGTAAAAGAGACATACATAAAGGTAGGGAAAAGGGTAGGGTGAGTACTGTGAAAGCGGTCGAACATGCATTACAGTGGGATCATGGTAGTTGAAGTGAGAAGTCAACTGCCGGTTAATAGAATTTTTGCCGTAAGAGTATACTTTACTCAGAGTGCACCACGTGGAGGTAAGTCTATCGCATACCCCACCATTAAATATTAAGGTGTCATCAAAAACCAATAATAATAAAGCATTGTGCCCTGATGCATATTCAAATTGATTGAACAGTCAGTACGCAACCGGGTTGTCCCATTTGTTTTGAAAAACAACAGTAAGTGCAGCACCTTCTGAATATGAAGTAGGTATAAGAAGACCTTTTGGAAAATTGGTTGAAGATTTGGCATAGGTTAGCGTGATACATTGACGAAACTTCCCCTAAAGTATGTGGCAAAATGCTGGACCATCTTTTCTGCTGTGAATGATGTGGTGGTTGTACACGTAGGTGTTATTTATGAGGAGATCCAAAAGATCACGTTGGCCTAGCCAGTCAAAACTTAGCAGAGTGCATTGAGGGTCGGCGAAATAAGGTGTTACTGAGGCACTATTACCCCTGTAGGACAGGTATCAGCTTTATTTCCACAGCAGTTTGACATATCCACAATAAGCATTAAGAGAAGATATGGGGGCTGGTTTTAGTTTCGGACGTCCCAATTATTCCTCAGGCCTCCTGGAGATTATTGTGGTATCTGAAGTGGTGTCTAGCTGTAGATGGACATGATTATCATTGGTCTGTAGGTGTGGAAGGTAACCACGAGGGGGTATTTTGATTTAGGTTGGTGGAGCTGATTCTTTTTATGGAATGGTCGCTTACGTTGCTCTTAGTCATGTTGTTGGAGGATAATTTCGGAATTCTGGGGTAGGCCTGCGTTCAATTGCTTACACCGATTTTGCCTGGAAAGAAACCGTCGAGGGTATTGTCAACTTCGACGGCATAGAGAAAACGAAGATAGTTTCTTTGCGATAGATGAATTGTCTATAGCACAAATTGGCATCTATATCAATATTAAAAACTTCATTTCTGTCTGAAGACGGCAACTTCTGTCCAAAAAATATGGAGAGTCGTTTGTGAATATATATATATATATATATATTTGCCTCAAAAAATGTACACACGCTTAAAATAATAGTAAACGTAGTATTCACTGGTATTTCATTATTTCAAATGTATAAGAATATTTACATGTATCAGTACATGGTTTTTCACTAAATTTTGCGTGCATTTTTGAATAATTGTAAATAATCCATGACTTAACTATCTGTTTTTTGTAGATTCGACCCATGAGCACAGGATTGACAGGCGGATTTAACTTTGAAGAGGAAAAATTCATTCTAAAACTCTACTACAATTTTGGAAGGAATTTCCAAAAAACACGAGTTACCACCTTTGGAATTATTTCATGATGTGTGCGATTCCACTGCTTGGCGGTTAGTAGTCTTTATAAAAATGGACGTCAGTTTGAAAAAAACAGTGAAAACAATATATTTATACTTTAAATATTTTTCCGCATTGTAAATAATAAAATTCCGGTTGAACGCCACGTTTACAAGTAGTTTCAATGTGTGTGTACCTTTTTTCTGGGACATCCTAGGATATTCATCGATACTTACGATCTTTGGATAAATTGAATCAAAACCTCCCACATCCCCAACCCAATTTAAGTTAAAACACGCATGATTGTGCTCTTTCATTTGTATTCTTACCTACTCTACAACCCCCTCCACCCCGCCCCACCCCCTCCCACTTCCAGAACCCAATGGCTCTTGTTTATAGAATAGAGTCAAATATAAACTTAGAATGCCTGTGTCTGTTAAAAACAAATGCAGTTAAAAGAACGTGAAAGAGAAGAAAACAGCAGCTTTGTAGGCTACAAACATACCCCCAAGGGCTGCTCTTTAAATGACAGACTTCGAGTCGTACAAAGGAATGCAAACCGCTTAGCGGAGAAAATAAACAACGACTACAGAAAAAAGGCCTGCGAAGCAATGAAAACTTCTCCGGCTCCTTTCTTTCAGCCGCTGATGCTCCTTTTTTCGACCATTTTCAAAAGCAACACAAGGTAAAGAAACCGGCTTTTTCCTTTGAGCTAGAGAGAAACTAAAAAGAAGCGTACAAAGGAGAGCATGACAATGCAAAACTGCAATGTCTCTCCCTCCCTCTCTCTCTCTCTCTCAGGAGAATTAGAGCTTTCTTTCAAAAGTTCTTTTGACATCTATTTACGTCTTCAAAAGAAATGTTAGCAGAGGGAGTTAGATGGGAAATGTCTCTCACCCTCTCTTTCTTTCTCTCTCTCTCTCTCTCTTGAATTATTAGTTATTTCGAGGTATATTTATACGGCGTCATGGCCAAGTTGGGGTCAAACAAGTTATGTATTGTCTTGAGTACCCGTGAATAAATTTGTTAAATGGGATTAAAAATGAGCATTTAAACAAGCCAATTTATACGTTAATTGAATTCCGGTTCGTTGGCAAAATTTATTCAATTTGCTTTGTAGTTTTAATAGAATTGATCGTAAATTTCACTCTACGCTCTCTTTGAAAAAGCCTGGTTTTATGAACCTTTCTGGTTTATTTTATGGATTAACAACACTTTTATCTTTATAATTTATACTTTCCTTGCATGTTGAGTTCTTTTTTTTCAAAATGGGAGAAATTGTGCGGTTTATTTGTCCATTGGAATAAAGATCGCATTCATGATGCCATATGTCCGTGAAGGCATATAATCGTCTCTTAATTTTAATTGCAGTTAGAGTCTCTATGTACGCACAACTTTGTTTCCTTCAGCCTGTTGTCAAAGTGTTGCCAGATCTTGGCTTGCAGGATACGTAAGTCGCGAGACGTATTCGCCATCAGCCTTCAAAGACAAATATGCAACTTCAATTTCATTTGCTTGATTCAACGTTCAAAATCTAATTTAAATTATTTTAGCAGCATTAATTGAAGTACACAGGAAATTGCCACCCTTCGCAAGCTCCATTATTTTCATAATCATTACCATGTCAATCAACAGATTGCAATGGCTTTGAGAAAACTACATTTAATTTCTATAAGTGAAAAAAAGAAAGAATGATGTGAATTGGGAATGTCGAAAGCCATCCACTCACCCACCCACCCACTCACCCATCCAACCGAACAAACAATCACATGCACACATTTTGTAATACTCCTAGCTGCCTATCAGTCACAATTCCGGCTAAGTTCAAGGATGAGACAAATGTTTCCCTATTTTGAAGTAATGAATTTCATAAAACAGAGAAAGACCAATCCTAAGCACCTTTCCATGGTTCTACATTGTATCCTAACGTCTTAGGACTAAGTTTTTTTGAGAGTTGGTATTACAAATGTACTCATGGAATAGTTGATTGCTTATCTAGCTCTTGTCCTCAAAGTAGAACACTAAGGCCTCTTCTCCACAGCCAAAATACCTTCGTCTATATTTTGTTACATCAGCTACTAGACCAGATGTGAAATGGTGAGGAATTCGACTTCAAAAAACCACTGGCCTAGTTTCTCTGAATAAGGCCACGCATATACACATTTAACATGTTTCAACTTCAAGTTTGTAGGTATTTCAACTTACTGCGCGGCGCTTTTGATGTGTGTCAAATGAAAATGTTGAACAGAAAAAGTTGCTTGTGAGTGTGTATGTGTGTCTGTGTGTGTGTGTGACAGGTCCATTCTGTGTGAGCTGGCTTAAAAGTTGGTATTGTAGAAAGAGGAATTCGATTGTACTCTCAGAGGCAAAATAGATTATTTTGCACACGTATAACTCCGATTAAAAGTTGTTTGGGGAGTAATTTTGCCATTGGTGCTTGGGTGTAAGTAAATGATAGAAAAATCGCATCAGTTTCTAATGTTCTCGCCTTGAATTTCTCCTAGCTTCGAGCAAATTTTACATCGGGCAACAGAAGTAAGTTCCACTTACTAACCCGGTGATAATGCTTAATTTAATCTCCATCATTAAGGTGCATATGCAATTACACAAGCTGACAGTGACATAAACAATAAGTATTTTATTAAATTCTGACCAATTGTTTCTGAAATAATAATAATTATTATTATTATTAAAAAATGGACGAAATTTTCAAAATTTGCTATTGTATGGGTAGAAGACATTCGTTTCCCACTATTCTTCCAACCAGTATTATGTTACCTTTGTGCGTAAGGCATTAAAGCTTTTGTGTGCACTCATCTTTCCATTCCCTTATCTATTGTTCCTACCCTCTGTTTTAGTAATGGAAATTCAACTATGGTTGAATATTTTAGCTGAGAGAATAGCTAACAAAAGAAGGAATTGTTCCAATTCTTTTTTATCTGCCATGAGCTCATCTGAGAAGCAAAAAATGCTAATTGTCTTTTCTTTTCACACCAATCTACTCTTGGAGGCCCATTATTTCCATCCTCTCATTA